GCAAACCGCTCAAAGCAGGAGGAAAACGCTCGAAAGAGACTAGAGAGTTTCAGAAGAAGAAGCAAACCGCTCGAAAGAGACTAGAGAATTTCAGAAGAAGGAGCAAACCGCTCGAACGAGACTAGAGAATTTCAGAAGAAGGAGCAAACCGCTCGAAAGAGATTAGGTAGAGAATTTCAGAAGAAGGAGCAAACCGCTCGAAAGAGACTAGAGAACTTCAGGAGAAGGGGCGCGCAGCTCGACAGAGACCAGAGAATTTCAAAAGGGGGCAAACCGCTCGAAAGAAACTACAGGGTTTCAGAAGAAGGAGCAAACCGCTCGAAAGAGACTAGAGAATTGCAACAGAAGGAGCAAACCACTCGAAAAAGACTAGAGAACTTCAGAAGAAGCAGCAAACTGCTCGAAAGAGACTTAGAAATTTCAGAAGAAGGAGCAAACCGCTCGAAAGAGACTAGAGAATTCCATAAGAAGGAGCAAACCGCTCGAAAGACACTTGGGTCGTGGAGCATCCGCACAAGCACCCTTAACCCGTGGAGAGTTACATTTGGTAACTCCCCTGCAGTTTTTCCAGAGATCTCCGTGTCAGTGAAGCAACATCCCTAGAGCCATGCTACAGTCACGGTCCCCCTATAGTTGAAGGGCTATTCTTAACATGTTTATCCAAGGAAGCTCATAGAGGCTCTGTCATAACTGGGTAAATTCGTCCTCTGGATGGAACTTGAAAGGAGTGGAGGCAGCTGATTGTGCCCGGCTATCACTTTATGGATGCTTGGTACTTGTTAAGGCGCTTAATTCAAGTTACCGTGATAAGGCTCTATAATCTATAGTAAAGGATAGGCTTCCCTAAACCCTAAACGGCCCTAATCCCTAAGCCCTAAGCCCAATTAAGTTCCCAAGCAAGAACCCAGGATGTCACGGCGGAGCTCATTGGTCTCGTCTTCATCGTTGGGATCCTGAATCTTGCTGAATGGCTTCTAGGAGGGTTTCTTTACGGGTCCCAAGGTCCTTTTTAGGGTTTATGTGGGGCTTCTTGGAGGGTTCCTACAAGAGTCCTCTTGTGCCCTCATCAAGTCCTTTAAGGAATACTTTTCTATAAGTGTTCTAGATTGTTCTAGAGTCCAGCACGCTGAGGCTTTCTATGAGCGTCCTTCATAAATGAGGGTCTTTATGTAAGGGTCCTTATAAGGGTAAGGGTTTTGGAGTTTGGCAGGGGTCTCAACAACGTCTAACTCCGAGTAGCAAAAAGGGTGGAGTTGGACGCTGTTGCTTGGGGCAAGCAGCGAATTCGACCCCTTATGGAAAGAGCCTTGAAATGGATCCTAATGTATAGAACTACCCACATATACCGCCGCAAAGGAAGCCACCCGAGAAAGTCAGTTTCACCGAGCAGAGCGCCCCACGCCTCTGGGCCCTGCGCGGCATGAGTCGGCTGACGGAGGTGTGGGTTGTGTAGGGTTATCGGGTGGTGGAGAAGATCAGGGGAGTGGTCTGCGAGGTTTAGTATCATGATTGCTACTGGCAATGCTGCTAATTACTACTACTGCTACCACTACTCCTCCTGTTCCTTCTCCTACTACCACTACGACGACGACTACTACTTCGATGACTATTACTACTATTGCCTCTACGACAGCCACTGCTACTTGAGGGTAGGCACTTCGTTTCCAAGTCAGTTCCACCAAGCTTTCTATTCTCCCAAACAGGGAAGATCGGTGTCTTTCATGGCTGCCCTGTGGCTCGACATGTCCTACATTTATGTCTCAACATATTCCGTTAGCGTTTGGGTTTGGGTTTGAGTGTGTTCAGCATTTTTTCAAACCTCGAGGTTCTAGGGCCGGATGTCGCAGGAGCTTCCCACAACGGAGGAGAACGACAAAGTGCAGGAACTGGCACTTCGCAGCATCAACCTTTCCGAACTGCTCGACTTCTATGAGGGCTTGGGATGTGAAGGCTCTCGGATGCCACACTTTGATCCCTGCCGGTCCACGACCCACGACGTCGTGCGCCAGGCAATCATTCCAGCATCGCGGCAGGGCTCGGGTGGCATGTCCTATGCAGAGCTGCTGCAGCAAACTGGCCATGCCGCCAACCGGATGCCCGACTGTATGGTGACGCACTCCTGGTCGAACCTCTTCCTTGACCTCGTAGCCGCTGTCGTGGCAGACGCCCTGGGTCATGACGAGTCTAGGCCAAACCCTTCAGGTACTTGTGGTAGGTATTTCTACTGCGGCGTCACATCCTGGTTGCCCGGAGTTGCATGGACCTTCCATTCCGTGATGTGTGCAGACGTGCTGACAACTAATATATGTGCCTTAATAATTAATCAGAATAGGGTTGGGGGGGGGTATATTATACTATACCTGTGACAAGGAACCTCCAAATTGGCATTGGTAATTATTTAGGCCCCTAAATTAGTCAAGCTTCAGATGCAAAATGCGCATTCACAAACGCCTAAGAGCGTGGCTAAAGAAACTTCCGGAGTAATAGCCGATTTAAGCCATTAGCTGAATAGCTTTGTGTCCCACCCCTGAATGTTGAAGCCATCAAGCTTGTGTGTAGGTGGGCTAGTAGACTTGCAGGCTCCGTTACGCCAGCCCCAAAAGATATCCGAAATCTCACAAACACACATTATTCGCGAGACTTGAAATTCTTCCCGTCTGGCCGAGGAGTACGACAAGGTTGCACAATGCTTGCGGCAGGGGCATGTGGAGACCCTGCGGCAGCAGCTGCTCACCAGGGGCACGCTGGGCAACAGCTACTGGACCCTCGGAGCTCTCTCTGTGCACGAGGGTCCGAACTCGGAACAGGTAATGACTGGTAAAAATGACTGCAATAAAAAACGAGCAACAGGAAGAATAATAAAAAGAAAAGTATCAAAACTAATAGCAATAGTAGCACTAGTAACAATCAAATTAGTCATAGTATCAATTGAGGGAATAGCAAAAAACAGATATTGGAAGATTGCGAGCAACAGTTCTAATAATCATTAGTTGACGCTCCTCAGTTACTTCCTGCTCAACGTCGATTTGAGCAGTCGGTTTGTGGGTTAAGGGCTCGGCTGCCCTTGTTTTGCTCAGGAGCAGGCTCAGACTTTAAATGGAGTCCAACATGAACTCAGTCCTTGCCCGTCACAGTGAGTGCCTGAACATGGACCTCTCTGAGTCGGCCCGAGCCCTCAAACCGCAAGCCTCAACCCAGAAGATATACATTGGTGTCCTGTCGTGCTTGCGTCTCGTGTCTTTGGCTCCTTCCATGGATACCCCTCGTCCCCGAAGTCTTCCTAGGTCCTTCTCGGGAGATAATACTTGGAGGTTCATGGGTAGTGATAAGAAGGGTTAGACATAGCGTAACTATAGCTATAGCCCATATAAGGGGTCTTACAACCCAACTTATATCTACCCATGAACCTCCAAGTAGTCTTAATATCAGCTTCGTTATTCATGGCGCGTATGCCACTTCCCGAATGTTTATTGGGATTTGAGGCCAGGCTCCTCCTGAACAGTAAGACAAGTCGCATAGCAAAAGCCAACAGATGGATCAATGGATCTACGTGTCCCTTTTGGGGTCGTTTTAAAAAGGGTGCCGTACTATCTTGGGGGCCTAAAAAGGGACCTAAGTTGGAGAACTACGGAAAAGACAGAGGGTCCTAGCTCCCTCACTTGCCTCTGACAAGGATTTGCTGTTTCTGTGTCAACCAACACTCCAGCATCTCGGCTTGCGTTGGCCTAGCCATGAATGGTTTTAGTGGGTAACTAGGGTTGAGGGTTTAGGATGGGATGTCAATGCTTTCGTGGCTTAGTTAAACAAAGAGAGAGATTCTAAACCCTAAACCCAAATTAAGCCCTAATCTAGTATATAGCCCTATAAACCCCTGGACCATCAAACCCCCAAGCCCTAAACCCTGAAGCCCTAAACCGCGAACCCTCAAACCAGGAAAGCCACTCTTTGTCTTGTCCTCCGCTCATAGGTGCGAGGAATCGTCCCTGGTGGGTTTTAGTATGGGTTTGGGGCTCTTTGGGGGTCTAGAGAGGTTTAGCGTCGGCTTCCGGGTTCAGAGTTTAAGGTTAAGGGTATATGGGGGTTTAGGGTTAGGGTTTAGGGATATGATAGGGTTTAGGCTGATGTTAAGGGTGTGTGGGGATTTTGCGTCCTCCGCTGCACGGAATGCTGAAGACAACGGCACCCGGCCACCCTCTATCCCAATACCCTGAGATCTGCGATCGGAGAGCCTGAAACCTCCAGAATCGAGCACCCTTAATGCAGGGGCCTGAATCATTACCTATAAGATTTTGGGGGGCTCCTTATTATATTTATAGTATAATGGGCCCCAAAACCCTATTCTACTTATCAAGACCCCTGCATTACGTGACTTCTGTGTTGGCTTGATATTTTCAGCCTTGAGAAGTACCGGCACTCTCAAGCCCAGCGAAGGTTCGCTGTCGGCTGCATGGAAGATGAACAAGGATCAAACAGAACATTATATCCCTGAGCCCTGGACGCCAACTTAAGCCCCTGCCCATCCCCCCCTCTCCAAAAACGACAAGAAGCTAAAGCCCTAAACCCATCTAAGCCCCAAGCCCTAACGCCTCGAATCCTAAAGCCAAAAAAGCCTTAGACCCTAAAACGCCTAAAACCCCAAAACGCCAAACACCCTCGGAGACCCGATCGATGCGAGGTATCTGCGCTGGGCCTGGGCCGGCCCCGACGGATGCGGCGGCCAGGGTTCGCTGGGAGCGGAACTGCCGGGACACGGTCACAGGCTACGGGGTCCTTAGGGTTTAGGGGTGAGGGTCGCAGGGCACGGGGTCACGTCCTTAGGGTTTTGGGTGTATAGAAACTGTTTCGGGTTTAGGTCCCGAGTTTCGTGCGGTTTTTGGGCGGGTTTTGCTTTTTACTTTTGCTCGGTTCATTGTGCGGTGTGTGTGTGTGTGTGTGTGTACGAGTTGGGAGGTTTTTTGGAGGCTCAAACTTGTCAAAAATCACGCGGTTCTTCAAATCCTCAAAGAATGCCAAGAATCCCGATTCTTCCTGGTTTGGAGGTCCATGGCGAAGCAAACACAGTTGATGTGCTTCTAGTCCGTCCGTCAGGAACGTTACATTGCCATGCAATTTCCGTTCATCCTGGGCCTGCGGGAGTTTAGGGTGTCCCTAAACCCTAAACTCTAAGCCCTAAACCGTTTTTAGTGTTGGTTTTAAGGTAGAACCAAAGGGAACTTACGAGTTTGGTAAATGCAGGGTTCAGGGATAAAAGTTTGGGCGATTTTGAGATAGCAACACAGGAAGTTTAGGTACTCATAGCGTTGGGGGTGGAGGGTTAAGGTACATGGGTGTATTTGCTTAGTGTGGTTCGTGAGGTAGTCTTGAAGAGAGAAGTGCAGGACTGACAGGTTTAGGGTCATTGCTTAGGTCTTATCGAGTTTCAATATGCTCTTGGAGGTTCATGGGTAGGTATAAGTGTTTTGTGAGTAAGGTAACTACAGTTATAACCCCTATTAGGGGGCTTATAACCCCACTTGTAACTACCCGTGAACCTCCAAATAGCAATCCTCAGTGTCTTGAATGGTCCTTTGTCCTCAAGTGCTGCCACGGCATGTGTCGGGTGCAGCAGATATCAGGGCCCAATGTACATTGGAACCGCGACCCTCGCACGCACTCCGCCACATTCTCCAGTATGGGGGCCTAAAGAATTACCTATGCTATTTGGTGGGGTCCTTATTATAAGCATCGCATAATAGGCCGCAAAGCCCTATTCTAATTATTAAGGCCCCTTTATTGCACCAAAACGATGCGAAAAGGTGTCAGCCTCAGCCGTCCCCAGGCGAGCCCCTCACGTTCTGCGACTGCCTGGAGTCGAAGCTTGCAAATGACGACCCGGACTGCGAGGTGCTCGGTGGAGTTGAGGGCCCATGGTGGTCCGGGTCGTGGATGTGGTACCGTAAACCCTAAACCCTAAACTAGTGTAGAAGTGATGGTGGTTGGCGGATGTTGGCGGTAGTGAAAGAGGCGGGCTAGGAATGCTTTGTGGCGGAAGAACCGTGAAATGATAAGTTCGCAAAGAAGCGTCCACAACGGAGCCAACAACACCCCGAGGAAATCTTACGAAGTGGAAGGTCTGATTTCTCCTTACAGCCACATCCGACGTCCCCCACCTATTACATGGGGAGGTGAACAAGTTCGATGCCATGATGCTGTGGCTTCAGTACAAGAACCCTCGCTTGAGGCAGCGAGTCCAGGATGGTTTAGGGTTTATAGGGTTTAGGGTCTTAACGGAATGTGATTTGGTGCTGATCATGACTACACTGCCCAGGACGTCTTGCATGGGATCCAGGCCCGAAGATGCTAAACCATCGTGTACCCGTTCGGTTTGGTTCCTATCGCGTCATCAAGGTTCCTGTCAGAAGAGTGCTTGTTGGACCTTGGAGCTTGTTCCCCTGAGCCCAGATGCCACCCGTAAAACCCATTAGGGCCAACAGAAATTAAGCCTTAAACCCTAAAGCCGCCTAAAGCCCTAAACCCCTGAACCCCAAATCCTAAAAACGCCGAGCAGCACCTTTGTCATTATCAGACGCTGGCTCCGGGCACCCCGAAGCATCCTATTAGGATTCGAAGTTTCGGGTTTTGGGGGGGTTCGAGAGTGTAGGGCTGTAGGGGTTAGGGTCTAGGGTCCTCTGAGTTCGCGACAGAGAGGGCTTGAGGGCTTAGGGCTTGGGCTCGGCATCGAGATCCCTAAACCCCAAACCGATGGAGGTCAGGGCTCCGACTATAGTCAGCGGCTCACAACCAAGACCCGTCTGACGCAGGGGCCTAAATAAGTACAAGTCTTAATTTTGGGGGGGTTCCTTATTATAAGTGTAGCTTAATGGGCCTCAAAACCTTGTTCTAACTATTAAGGCCCCTATCCTAAATTCCAGATTGTAAATTCCTCTAGCCTTGCATCAAACCCTTCGATCATGAGTCAGAGGCCTTAAATAAGGTCCATGTGAGCTTCAACATAACCTTTTCAACTGTAATATAACACACTATAACTATAACCGAAGAGAGTAGAATCTGCGTAGAGTATAAGGAACATGACATCCTGCTCTCTGAGGCAGCTCGTCGCCGTGGATCGCAAGTTTGACGTTTTCTCCCGCAGCTGGTGCATCGCCGAGCTTGTGGCTGCTCACGGCGCGGACATCCCACAAAGTGTGCCTGGTCTCACTCTTTCAGGGGCCCTCAAAAGGTGGGATGAGAAGGTAGGTGGGATAATCCCAAATTAAGAGCTTTTGTGTAAGGGATCCTGAATCCTACCTACCTTCATCCCCAGCTTTTGAGGTCTCAATCTTGGGTTTTGGGATCAAAGTTTGGGGTTGCTTGGGCCTTTAGGGTTCGGGGAGATGAGGGCTTCAGGCTTCCGGGTGCGGGGGGAGGAAGCTCACTAGCAGTGCTCTGAGCCGCAAGAGTTCCGAAACTTTTGGGTGTAGGGGTCCCCTTTAAGGTTTAGGGTTTAGGGTTGATGTTTCTTCGGGTATCAGCACTAGACGGCCTTCAGCCTTCAACATGAAGTCCCAAACCTTCGGCCCTCAGCCGCTCCAAGCGGTAAGCAAAATGCTGCTCATGCTAAGACCCTGGGACAGGCTCAAACACCCCAATTGTCGAAGCCCCTTCATCTTGAAACCGACAGCTCCAACGCGAAACCTCAAGCCTTAGCTCCTGAGCCCCAGGCCCTAGACCCCAAATGCGGTTGATGAGAACTGATAACAATTCCTGCATTACCCATAATAAGGAATGTATGTCATAATTCCCCATATTTGTTAGGGTCCTTAAGGTACTGCCGGATTGATATCATGAACAGTAACAAGCCGTAACCCCCCAACCCTGTGCTAGGAGGGCAAAAGACCCCTAAACTCCAAAAGTCCCCAAACCCCTAATAGAGGGTCCGAAATGCTTACCTATCTTATTTTGGGGTTTCCTTACTATAATCCCTACAGTACAGCCTACACTCCGAAACCCTGAACCCGAAACCTTCCTCAACAGGTCTGCTTAGAGACCAGCAAACCTTTCGACCCCACAGCGGAAGACCTGGCCATTTATGAGTACCTGGTGACTTCGCTGAGTACTTAGGGTTTAGGCATTTAGGGTTTGTGGGTTTAGCCGTTTAGGGTTTGGGGTTTAGCGGTTTAGGGTTTGGGGTTTCGGGAGGGTCTGAACACTGTTCCAAAGCAGGGTTCCTGAGTTTTACACTTTGCTGGAGTATAGCCCAAAACGTAAACCCTAGACTCTAAACCCTAAACCTAAAGCGTACTCTAATCACTAAGGCCCCTAGAGTCGGTGTTGCAGGACCTGCAACGGTATTGATCAAGGCTTTTACGCGGGCTTAACAGGGTTGAATTCGCTGAGGAGGTTTGAGGGGCCTTTTTCTAGGGCGTTTACGACAGACCTTCTATGAGGGTTTCCGCCTTTCCATATCGGCTTAGATAAGACTGTACTTCGTTGAGTGGGGGGCTTCCGAGCAGCAGGATTTAGGGGATATGGCTTTCTGGTCTAAGTCTAAAGGATCTTTGGGAATTGAGGCCATCCTACACCCTTGACCCTTAAAAGTTGGAGAAGTCTAAGCTTTGTATTGTGTGTTTAGGGGATTGTCTTCTAGGGCTTTCGGTTCAGAGGTTCGGTGTAATAGGGTTTCGGGACTTTGGGTTGATTTCGATGGCAAAGCTAAGCAGAAAAGTTTAAGTTCAAGCTTAAGGGTCTTAAGAGCGGAAACACCCAAGCCCCTTGCGCCCCTCTCTCAAACCTCCTCCTTGCTGGTCCCCTGCGTTATAAACCCTGAACCCTAGGCCCCCGTGGTAAGGGTAAGAGACTTTCATGCAGACTCGATCCTGCACGCCTGAGGCCCTGAGGAAGGGACCTCGCATTCCTGAAAAGCCATGGCATGCATAGAATCGTATATAACAGGGTTTGCTAATGCATAAAAGACTATTCTAGCATACTACTAAAGTATGCTATAGTATAGAGAATCCTCCAAGGAAACGATCCTCGAGATCACATCAGATGACACCAAAAAGGTGCAGGCTCAGCGTACAAGCCCAGCATCATCAGCCCCAAATTAACAAGCAACAGCATGAGGCTGCACTGAATAATGTACAGGTTTCGACTAATGCCCCGAACCTGAGATTCCCGCCTGCCTAATGTATAGTAGGGCCTAAATAGTGACCAATACTATTTTAAGGGTTCCTTATTGTATTTGGGCGGTTTGAGCTCTAGGTTAAGGGATTAGGGTTCAGGGGACCCCATGTCATGCCTAGGTTCGGAGACTGGTTCTTCTTCTTAGACTGATCGTCCCATGCGTTGGCTCTCTGTAGGTCTTTCGTGCAGATAGGGACCTGAACTTAGCCGTATAAACTCCTGCAAACGTACACCCTAAAGCCTCATGCCCTGAGCCCATCATGAGGTCAACCTCAGTGTCGCTAATAGCCTCGCTTCGCGGCCGGAGGACATAGGGAGAAGGGATTCGCGGTGGAGGTCCTTGATGGCACAGACCCAGAGAGCCCAATACCCCCTCCAAGAAAGGATGAGATTGTGTTCTAGGGATACTTATAAGGGATGTTTCTTGATTCAGGGGACCGCTGGGCTCTGGCAGGATGGGGCGGTTTGCACCCACAGTTCGGGTCAGTTCGAGCTGCCCAATTTAGGATATGGTTTCGGGTTTAGGGTTCAGGATACACGGCTGAGGGAGCGGCTACAGTGCTTACTTACAGCAGTCGTCATTACATGTGCCAGCTCGTCACAACCGGAATCCTTGGGAGCACGGCAGGGCACTCGGCTGTCGGTGGCCAACGAAGGCCAAAGTGCAGCAAGTAACCTTAGCTGTAGCTTTTTGCGTTTTATACAACCGCTACCTGAGCCAGACACGTATCGGAGGACAAAGAGATGATCTTGCAGAAGGTGTCCTCTGTGCGGGAGTTCGATGCAGCTCTCCAGATGCTGATCTTTGGGAATCGAGGCAGTGGGAGGACTTTTCTTCCTTGGGTTTGGGCTCTGAGGGACGAAGGAAAAGGGTTCAGGCTTGGTAAACGTGTAAGGTTTAGTGGTTGAAGAAATTAGGGCTTTGGAGTTGCGAGGTTGAGACCTGTGGTCTCTTGGCCTGGGAAGGGAAAGAAACAAGATAGATGTCTAGGACATGTTCAGGTGGGTAGTTTCCGTTATTGGCGCCTTGTAGAAGATCTAGATGCCTCATAGAAGGCCCATATCCCCTAAACTCCCCAACCTGTAGTTTCCTTCAAGGATGGGGATATGACCTGGGGAGTGCAGAGAGGGCTCTGAATTCCCCAAAGCTTCAGCTCGGAAGCTTTACCTAAAGTCTCCATAGTAGTTCCCTTTTAAGGGGTTTTTGTACTATGGGACCCTGCTTGTAACCTTGGTTGAACCAAAAAATGAACTACAATGGAGACTATATAAGTAAAGCTCTTAAGGCCCAAAGCCCAAAACTCAACTCTTAAAAATCTTGATACATGCCTCAGAACGCCTTCACTTGGGCACCACCCAATCTTTTCATCCCCCAAAACCCTAAGCCCTACACTCCTAAACCCCCAACCCTTCAAAAAGCAACGAAACCCAAAGAGCCTTAAACTCTAAATCCTAAAACCTGAACCCCAAACCCTAAAGCCTTAAACCCTAAAACCTGTACCCACAACCCCAAACCCCAAACCCGAAAAAGGCTTGCTGACGAAGAAGCTCACTGGCTTCGACTTGCTGGAGCCCGCGGCACGTTTCACGCGCCGGCTTTGCAAAGTCAGGTCCATCGAGATCTGATCCCAGAAACTGCAAGACCCCTTAGCTGAGCGGAGGCTTTTGGGGCTTATTAAGGGATATCCTGCAAGCAGAAAGAGCCCTTCGTAGAAATTTCCGGAGTCTGCCATGGCAAAGGGCTTGCGTAGTCTCTCTGGGACGTTTCCGTGGCCATTCCAGACCCTCAATCAGACGGGTCAAGGTTCCAACCAATCTTAGGCGCATTTCTTGTGCCAGAACCCTCCCCAGGACCGCCCCACCTTTGAATCACCTCAAATCCAAGACTACAAAGCCAATGACCGTAAACCCTAAACCCTTCGCCGAAAAATCTCAAAACCGATGCCTCCTCGATCGTGAGCCCCCGCGGTGCCTTTGGCCAAGAGCGTCATCCGGCAGGGAGGGCTCACGCGGAGGTCATTGTCAAAGCTTCAATCCGCTTCAATAGGATGTAATCTAGAAGCCTAAACAACTACTTATTATATATATATATATGATTCCTTAGGAGTCCTTTTTATGTTTATAGTATAATGGGCCCCAGAGCCCTATTCTAATTATTAAGGCCCCTATAGTAGATTAGATAGGGTCCACGAGCCATAACTCCCGGCTTCTCAAAACCCGAACTTTAAAGCCAAGCAGGTTTTTTCAATCGTGGGCTCAAAGTCCTCCGGCTTCTTCCAGCCGGAGATTTCAAGGTTTCGAGCTTCCGAGCATACTGCTGGGAGGTTCATGGGTAGTTATAAGTGGGGTTCTTTTAAGGGTTCCTTTAAAGAGGGTTTAGGGGTAGTTATAAGTGGGGTTATAAGTAGGGTAGCTATAGTTATAACCCATATTAGGGGACTTCTAACCCTACTTATAAACTGCCCATGAACCTCCAAGTGTGTCTTGCTCGGTGAGTACGAGCTCCTGCTGCTGCCTCAACAAGGCTTCCAGAAAAGGCTTTTGCCTGTACTTCTAGGGTTTTGTTCACAGAGGACGTGATAAAGATCACGCTCCCTCGGAATTCCACTTATCCCCGAGAGTTTTGGTCTCCGGTTCAGACACCTGCTCTGGCAAAGATTCGTGAGCCGCGGCCTGCCCCCCCAAAGCAACCCGAAACCCTGCCCGAAGTTGCCGGAGACAGGCCCTCAAAATGCTAAACTCGATCCTGCAACCCGAAAAAACCACCCCTTCCGTCCTCCCTAAACCCTGAACCCCTGAACCTTCAAACCCTAAACCGGGATTCTCGTTTATATCCCGAGTACCCGACTGCTATAATCATGGGCGACTAGTATTCTATGTTCCTACCTTAAATAGCCTATATCTGTGTCGGTTCTGATATGCACCCCAACCTAGAATTTATCGGGACTCCTACACACAAGTAGGTCTTATGAAGGTAGACCAGAAACCCAGATCTCCAAAAACTCAAGGGCTTTGGAGGGGAAAGGTCGCCGCCCACGCGTTTCAAAGCTTCCATCTTTGCGACGGAGTTGTACAGCTTCTCCCGCCCAAAAGGTGTTGGGTTTAGGGGTTAAGCGAGTCTGTAACCTTTTACCATCTTTCACCGCTTTGGTATAATTTATAAGTGGGGTTGTAAGTAGGGTACCCATATTAGGGGACTTATAGCCTCACTTACAACTACCCATGCACCTCCACGTACACCCAATCACTAGTCTAGTCATTTAGGCCCTCATAGCCTCATATGGGGGGTTTCTGAAAATCGGGGACCCCCAAAAAACTCAAGTAGCAGGATCCTTATTATAAGGACCCCCAAATAAGGTATCCCCCTTATTTTCGGGAACTCTCATATTGTTTAAGCGAAGAAGTGGAGCCGGAAAGATGCCACAAATTGGGTCCCTTAAAGGAGATTCCTTCGCCATAAGGAGCCCCCAAAGAGGAATCCTTGAAAGGGGAGGGATTCCTTTAGGTTCAGGGTTTATAGGGGCCTTAAGAATCAGAATAGGGTTTTGGGGCCCATTATACTATAATTGTGATCAGGAACCCCCAAAATAGTATAGGTAATTCTAAAGGCCCCTATGTTATGTGGGTTTACGTATGTGGCCCCCCAGTGGTAACCTTCAGCCCTCCTGGGTTTGGGGTTTCCTTGTGGAGGCGTTGCGCGGATAGTGCGGAAGCAAGGAAGCAAGTATAGGGTTATTGGTTAAACTCTATACCCTAAACCCCAAACCCCTAAAACCCCAAAACCATATACCCTAAACCCTATACCCCTGTACCCTGCAATGCGGGCTCGTCCTTGCTAAGTAGGAGGCAAATACCCCTAAACCCAAACCCGAGTTTAGAGTTTAGGGGTTCGGGGAGTTCTATTGGGCTTGGTGTTCATGGCCGGGTTCAGGGTTCAGGGATTCTTTAGGGTTCGGGGTTTAGGGTTCAGCAATTCTGTGGGGGTTTAGGTTTCAGGGATTGTTGAGGGTCCCGGGATTCTTAGGTTCAGGGTTCAGGGATTCTTTAGGGTTTTTCGGTTTAGGGTTGACGGATTCCATTTCAACAGAAATGTCCGGCAAGTTTGGTTGATGGATTTTTGAACGCAGGCACAGTTTCCGGCTCGGAACATCATATGCAAGAAGCCTGTTGTAAAGTTATAGGCATACACCTCAATCATAGACCGCGAGTTCTTGGTTCGAAAGAATGGTGCCGGCGGGTGCGTCATGCAGCACGCTGGGGCAGCTGACTCTGGGCAGAGACTTTCGGTTCTGGCTTGGGGTTTAGGGTTTTGGGTTTTGGGCTTGGGGCTCGGCGTGGGGCTCTGACCAGTTTGGGATTTTTGCCACCGGGTGTAGAGTCGACGTTCAGGTATAGCCTACCTATTTAAGGCTGAGGGCCTGCAGACCCTAAGCTGCCCTAAGCTCTAACTCCCACTTAGGGTTGAAGGAAAGTAGACCATCGATCTCAAAGCCGAGACCCTGAACTTCAAGGGGTGAAACCGCGCAGTAGAACTGGAAAAACACAGACACATACAGAGAGCCAGCGCCAAGTGTCACGAAACCCCTAAACCCTTGCACCATGCCTGCAATTCGTGATTAGAATCGGGTTTTGGGGCATATTATACTATAGCTACAATAAGGAACCCCCAAAATAGTATAGGTAGTTCTCAAAGCCCCTATATTAGACCCAAGACGTCTCAGGCCCCTAAACCCCAAACTTTAAGCCCAAGGACCATAAGCGTTCAGCCCTGAACCAGCTAGCTGACGTCACCCTCGGGTTGTGTCCTCTCCCACGGGTGAGCCTCTTTTTTTTCATCACAACCCAAAACCTGATGCACCGTTTCAGGACACTTCACATGTCCTTCGCCCTCTCCGCTTCGGATCTTCCCTTCGTGGGCAATCTGGCGCCTCGCTCACTGGCATCCCAAAGTCCTACAGACTCTAAACCCTGCAGCCTTAAAGAGCTTCAAAGCGGAAACCCTAAGCTAAAACTCCTAAACTCGGAACCCGGAAGCGTGGACCCCTCAGGCCTGTATTTGTGTCTAGGAGCCCAAAAGCCCTTGATGACTGGACTTTTACGACGCCCCATCAACACAGCCCCTCGCCGTAAACAAGAAACCCCGATAAAGGACGAAACGGACCCTCCAAACCTTAAACCTAGAGGCCCTAAACCCTAATTCCCATCAAGCCTAAACCCAAACTAAACCCCGCTTTTCCGGCCCCTCGTCGGTCGAGGTGCCTTTGGCCCAGCGACTGACCGGAGCGCTGGGAGGCCTGGGGTGGATTAGGGACAAGGGCTTGGGATTTAAGGATTAGGGTTTAGGATTTTGGGTTTAGGGTTCAGGGTTTAGGTTTTTTTGGGGGTTCAGGGTTTAGGGTTGGATCTTGGGCTTGGGGCCTGGACTTAGGGGTGCAATGGCTTTAGGATTTGTTGGTTGACTTCGGGCTCAGGGTCTAAAGGGTCAGAAAACGGGCTGTACAATGGAAGTTTAAGGGTTCATCCTAGGTAGTACTCTTACATAGCCGATGGGAGAACTTTAGGCTTTTTGGCCGTATATATATATATATATATATATATATATTAGGTCTATCCTAAAAATTTTGAACTTTTCTGGGCTTGGTTGTTGAAGAAGAGAGTACTAGGGGGACAGGGGACTCATGGCTCTCTTAACGGGTGCCCCATAATCCTAACTCCTAGTTCAGTGGTTCAGGATCCAGGCGTTTTGGGTTTTGGATTTGTTAGTCTTGCTTCACGACTTCTTCTAAGGGTTTCCAGAAGGAATCAATGGGGTCCATACCTTGGAGGGTGTGCGACGAGTGTTCAGGAATGAAGCTTCGGGTTTAGGAGTTTAGGATGAAAGGGTTTAGGGTGAAGGGAGTTTAGGATTAATTGGCTTTGCGTTCAGGATTGAATTGAAGGGTTTCGATTTTCGGATCGAAGCTTTGGCTTTGTGTTCAGGATTGAATTGAAGGGTTTTGATTTTAGGACCGAAGCTTGTTGGTGTAGGACTGAGGGATTTGGAGTTGAGGATTTCCGGCTTTTGGGTTTAAGGGTTGAGGAGTTTGGGATTGGGATTTGGGATGCAGGCTGCAGGGCCCACATGAACCTTGGTAGCAGAGCATCTTTCATCCCCAGCCTTCCTTCTCCTTCCCCTTGGAGATTTTTAAAGAAGACCCTACACCCTAAACCGTAGTCAAGATGCAAAGCCCAGACCGTCTCCCTGCGGTGGGCAGGTTGCGTGGCAGAGCTCCTTCTGACGGTGGACCCTCGGAAAAAAACTCGAGGACGGTGTTGGGCGAGATGCTCCACAGTTGCCCACTGACTCGCTTCTCAAACCCTCCTAATATATAATACCTGAAACCCCAAACCCTGTACTGTACTAGGTGTTCGTGCTATGCAGTTCAGAGCTGAGGCCTGTAAGTTTGGGAATGAGGGGCCAACTTACGAGGCCCCAACCCACCTAAACCCGCGCAACCCCAAAGCCCCAAAACAGACCTGAAGCCTTAAACCCGAAACCCCTAAACCCCTAAACCCTAAACCCTGGACCTTACTCCCTTAAAGCCTTGAAACCGAAACCTAAGCCTCCCCGACTCCAGAGAGGAGTGCCATGATCCTGAGACGCCTAGAAACCTTGAAACAACCGGCTCTAAACCCCATCTAAAACCCTGCAGGCCTTCATAGCTTCGAAGCCAGTATCCCTAAATTTTACAGGTTTCAAGCCAACCACCCTAAACCCTAAGACCCTGAATGCGATATATTGAGTACGTGACAACACTGCATGATGAGTCTGCATTGTCGTGACCAACATCGCGTGAATGATGACCAGCATGATCGTGACCACTGCATGCTAC